TACCACAGAATGAGTAGGAAATGAGAGCACGGAGAGAACTAGTATAGACAGCTCTACTAAGAAGTTGAGCTGTAAGGAGTGGGCAGAGAAACCAGTGGCAACAGGACAAGGGTAGGAGAAGGGCAGGGTGAGGGTGCCTGGCAGAAAGATGCAAGAGCGGGCTGGAATCTGACCAGGTTCTGCCTTCAAGCTGTGAACCTTGGACTGGGGCTGTGGCCTGAAGGAAGGGGTACTTATTTAAATGGGGTCAGCCCCCTTGCAATTCATCTATCTGGAGGGGGCACCTTCTGATTCCCACAAGGGAATAGCAGCAGCTATGCTAAAGGAGGATGCAAACCAATGGGACTTTAAAGACAGAGGAAGAAACAGAGAAAGAGACCAAACTGTTTAATTTTCACATCAGTGGAAATAATCTGGTTGAGAGGGTATAGTTGAATAGGGAGGAGAAATGGTGATTGATAGGAGGGACCAGGGCCTACTCTATTGTGAAAAACGGATAGCAGATCTAGTAACTTAGGTGTGATAGAAATCACTTAATAGAGAACAACTTTAATTCAGATTGAGTTTTCCTTCTGCTAGGATGACAGACCACTGATTGACCTTATTAATTCCTAGGGTTCCTCTACTCCCAAGGTTGTACTCTTGATCTGGGGTCTTAGAATCATTGGGTTTTGGCTCACCTAGTTGCCCTGAAATGTCTCCGTCACTGTCACTTGACCCTTCTGCTGCTTCCAAGCTGTGCCTGGGGCCCAGGAAGGTTTAGCACAGTGCCCCTGATCGTCTCTGTCAAGCTGAACTATGTGGCCACTTCTCTTTGACTCTTGCTCTGCCCTGACACATCGCCAGGAAGGAGTTCAGGTGCTCTGGGCTGCAGGATCCATAGACTTCTCTCTCCCCTTGCCCACCCCTCCTAGCCTAGGGAAAATGTTTCAGTGGGGTTGGGGGCACTAGAGTGCTGCTGCTCTTTCCTTTGCTTCTCCAAAACATTTCATCTCAGCCCTCACACGTTCTTTGTATCAGCTAGCTTTTGCTACATAACAAACCCCTAAAACTTACATCTATTATTTCTCACAATTTGGTGGGTCAGCTCAGTTAGAGCAGGAAGGTGTAGCATCTTTCTACTCTAAGTGTGGTCCTCAGACCAGGAGCATCAGAAGCACCCAGGAGCTTATGAGAAATGTCGTCTCAGGACCCAGTGCAGTGGCTCAAGCCTGTAATCCCAGCAATTTGGTAGGATGAGGCAAGAGGACTGCTTGAGGCCAGGCGTCCAAGACCAGTCTGGGCAACATAGCAAGACCCTACAATTTTTCTTTTTTTTGGAGACGGAGTCTCGCTCTGTCACCCAGACTGGAGTGCAGTGGCCCGATCTCCGCTCACTGCAAGCTCCGCCTCCCGGGTTCATGCCATTCTCCTGCCTCAGCCTCCCGAGTAGCTGGGACTACAGGTGCCCGCCACCAGGCCCGGCTAATTTTTTTTGTATTGTTAGTAGAGACGGGGTTTCACTGTGTTAGCCAGGATGGCCTCGATCTCCTGACCTCGTGATCCACCCATCTCGGCCTCCCAAAGTGCTGGGATTACAGGCATGAGGCACCGTGCCTGGCCTACAATTTTTTTTTTGTTTTTTTTTGAGATGCAGTCTCACTCTGTCACCCAGGCTGGAGTGCAGTGGTGCGATCTTGGCTCATTGCAACCTCTGCCTCCTGCGTTCAAGCAATTCTCCTGCCTCAGCCTCCCTAGTAGCTGGGACTACAGGTGTGTGCCACCATGCCTGGCTAATTTTTGTATTTTTAGTAGAGACGGGGTTTCACCATATTGGCCAGGCTGGTCTCCAACTCCTGACCTCGTGATCCGCCTGCCTCGGCCTCCCAAAGTGTTGGGATTACAGGCGTGAGCCACCGCGCCCAGTCTAAAAAAAATTTTTTTTTTTTAAATTAGCCAGACATGAGAAGGATTGCTTGAACCCAGGAAGTTGAAGCTGCAGTGAGCTATGATCACGCCACTGCACTCCAGCCTGGGTGACAGAGAGAGAGGAGGAGGAGGGGGAGGGGGAGGAAGAAGTCTCTCTGGCCCCACCCTAGGTGTAATGAATCATTTTCTGCTTTTTTTTTTTTTTTTTTTTTTTTTTTTTTTTGAGATGAGGTCTCACTTTGTCACCCAGGCTCACTACAACCTCCACCTCCTGGGCTCAAGTGATCCTCCCACCTCAGCCTCCCAAGTAGTTGGGACTACAGGTGCACGCCACCATGCTTGGTTCATTTTTTTCGTACTTTTGGTAGAGATGGGGTTTCACCATGTTGCCCAGGCTGGTCTCGAACTCCCGGGTTCAGGATATTCACCCGCCTCAGCCTCCCAAAGCGTTGGGATTACAGGTGTGAACGACTGGGCCCGGCCCACTTTCTGCATTTTGACAGGAGCCTTCAAGCATTCAAGTTTGAGAAGTACTGGTGGAGGCTCTCCTTTCTCACCTGTCTGGCAGTCAGCAGGCTTGCTTGTCGGGGGAGTGGGGGGCCTCAGCTGGGAGGGCTTATTTTCTGAGCCGTGTTGCTAACTCAGGCTTCTTCACCAGCCGATCTCAGGGTTCCAAAGAGCAGGATGAGGGCAATTCCCACAGCAGGAGCATTTTTCGGAACTCTGCTGTGTCATGTTTGCTACTGTCCCACAAGCCAATGCAAGCCACATGGTCATCCCAGAGTCAGTATGGGAAGTCATTGCCCAAGGGCAAAACAGAGGAGGGGAATACTTAGTGGTTATTTAAAAAACCTATCACATTTTCTGCTACCGGAGTTGAGGCTTTTGGGGAAAACAAATGGGAAAACAAACACCACCAACTATTTGCATTCTGCCCAGCCACACCTCTCCCCTCACACCAGCACAGAGCCACCTACTTGCTTAAAAGATGACATGAGGCCGGGCACAGTAACTCAGGCCTGTAATCTCAGCACAAAGCCGAAGTGGGAGGAACACTTGAGCCCACGAGTTCGAGACCAGCCTGGGCAACATAGAGATGCCAGTCTCTACAAAAAACAAACAAACAAACAAACAAACAAAATTAGCTGGGTGTCCACATGCCTGTGGTCTCAGCTGCTTGGGAGGCTGAGGTAGGAACATTGCTTGGACTTGAGAGGTTGAGGCTGCAGTGAGCGGTGATAGTGCCACTGCACTCCAGCCTGGGTGAAAGAGCCAGATCCTGTCTCAAAATAAAACTTTTTAAAAAGCCAGAGAGGGCCGGGCGCGGTGGTTCATGACTGTAATCCCAGCACTTTGGGAGGCCAAGGCGGGCGGATCACGAGGTCAGGAGATCGAAACCATCCTGGCTAATACGGTGAAACCCCGTCTCTACTAAAAATACAAAAAATTAGCCGGGTGTGGTGGCAGGCGCCTGTAGTCGCAGCTACTGGGGAGGCTGAGGCAGGGGAATGGCGTGAACCTGGGAGGCGGAGCTTGCAGTGAGCCAAGATCACACCACTGCACTCCAGCCTGGGTGACAGAGCAAGACTCTGTCTCCAAAAAAACAAAAAAAACCCCACCAAGCCAGAGAGGAGGGAAAAGTGAAAACAGAAGGGAAAGTTGTATATTAATATTGTAAAATCATATCCTTGCTACAAAGGAGATGTGTACAGAGGTCAATGCATATGAGTTTGATAGTGGAAAAGTGAGAGATTGTCTAACATGGTTTCTTTATGAAGTAGGAGGTAAGTGCTGAGAAGTAGTGGGTGGGGGAAGAGGGGTATCAGAAGTCTGAGGAGACTAGAGAAGGTTTGAAATCAACATAATGGAACTTGAGACTGGGAAGTGACATGAAGAACATAAGATTTCAGCATCCATTTGAGGTTGATGATTATGAAGTTATCTTGATGCCAATCTGTTCTGTGGGCTCCCAAAGTGCTGAGATTACAGGCGTGAGCCACTGTGCCTGGCTCACACCTGTGGGGAAATATTTTGCAATGGTGTCTGCAGGCACAGAGAAAGCCAAAAGCAGGGTTTGGGGGATTTTGCTAGATGAGTAATGAAAAGGCAGAGGGCACGTGAGTTTAGCTTATTGGAGGGAGTGTTATTAAAATAATAGTATGGCATCTTTCCGCTGAATATGAAAAACTGAGAAGAAAGTGGGGGTGGTGGTCAAAAAGTGGAGGTTGGAGAATAGGGAAGATTTGAACAACTGGCTGGAAGAAGAGGGGAATTGTGGAAAGAAAACGAAATACTTGAGTCAGTGATTTCACAGGTGGAGTAACTTCCGTGATGAAAAAGACCAGTGGAGAGCATTGCAGATGTTCTCTCTTCCAATCTGAACACCTTCCCCTGGTGGAGATGAGTAGATATGCTTTCTATGTTTTGTTAACTTTACAACACCTTCCCCAAGCTGGTGAAAGCTCTCACTTCCTTCATTGGCCTGATGAACAGAGCCAAATGTATCTTTTTTGGTTCTGTTTTGAATTTTAGTGACTCTAGTCTTCATCTGCCTCTTGGACTTCCTGTCCCTTTTCCATCTATCCTTGGGTACACGTTTCTCCTTACAGGTCCTTTTAAACACCAAGCTCCGGAGAAAGGTCACCATTCTACCACTTTGATTCTGTAAATGTCTTTTGTTCATAGGTGTCAGCATAGGCTGGGTAATACTGTGGTAACAACCCCCAAATCTCGCAATCCCAGGAGGTACATGGGTACTGAGAATTATTCACATTTTACAAATGACCAAACTGGACCCCAGAGTATTGGTAAAATGTGCAGAGTCCATCAGCTGGTGAAAAACCCTACGGAACACAACACTTAGAACTTCACAAAGGCTAGACTTTATGAAAGGTGCTGCGTGAATGCAGTAGTATCTCCAACTCCCCTGGACCACTCTGCCACGTGCAATCTTGTATCTTTTACTCCAGAACTCAGTAACATCCACTCCAGGGCTGATGGGGGCGCTGGATGTAGATAGTGGCGAGTGGTTATCCGCCTAGGATAGCGATGGCTAGGCAGGGGACATAAAACAGAAGAGGCAGTGGCCTTCTCCGGGTGGGGTCTATGGCCCTTTACTGGGTACATTCTGTACACACAGGTCCCTCCTTTGCCTGAAGTTATTGATGAAGGCTTCACTACGGAGGGTTTGGGGAAAGGTGGGGGTCTGGCTCGGTGATCCCGAGTCCCAGCCCCGCTACAGCCCCGCCCAGATCTGGCAGAGCCGTGGGCGAACCCAGGCGGGCAGAAAGGCGGGGCGGGCGGCTGCCAAGTCGGCCAATAGGCGGCTCTCCGGCGGCAGAGCGGAGAGGGCAGGGGAGCAGTCAGTAGCACCACCGCCTTCCAAGTTTCCCCTCGTGGATGCGCGGCCCCGCGGCTCTGCTCCTCCCGGCACACAGGGGCCGGGAGACGCCACAGGAGCGGACACAGGACGGGATTTCTGAGGAACGGGAGAAAACTGGCGCCCGACCCGCCCTGGAGGGTCGGTGAACGATGAAGGGCCGGCGGCGGCGACGCCGAGAGTACTGCAAGTTCGCGCTGCTGTTGGTGCTGTACACGCTGGTGCTGTTGCTCGTCCCCTCCGTACTGGACGGCGGCCGCGACGGGGACAAGGGCGCCGGGCACTGCCCTGGCCTGCAGCGCAGCCTGGGAGTGTGGAGCCTGGAGGCGGCGGCGGCCGGCGAACGCGAGCAGGGCGCAGAGGCGCGGGCCGCCGCGGAAGGGGGCGCGAGCCAGTCCCCTGGGTCCCCAAGCAACCTCAGCAGCGCTGTCGGGGAGGCGGTGTCTCGCGAGAAGCAGCACATCTACGTGCATGCCACCTGGCGCACCGGCTCGTCCTTCCTGGGCGAACTCTTTAACCAGCACCCGGACGTTTTCTACTTGTATGAGCCTATGTGGCATCTATGGCAGGCGCTGTATCCGGGCGATGCCGAGAGCCTGCAGGGCGCGCTGCGCGACATGCTGCGTTCGCTCTTCCGCTGCGACTTCTCCGTGCTGCGGCTGTACGCACCGCCGGGGGACCCCGCTGCGCGCGCCCCGGACACGGCCAATCTTACCACGGCCGCCCTCTTCCGCTGGCGGACTAACAAGGTCATCTGCTCGCCGCCACTGTGTCCTGGCGCGCCCCGTGCCCGAGCCGAGGTGGGCCTCGTCGAGGACACTGCCTGCGAGCGCAGCTGCCCACCCGTGGCGATACGCGCCCTGGAGGCCGAGTGCCGAAAGTACCCGGTGGTGGTCATCAAGGACGTGCGCCTGCTCGATCTGGGCGTGCTGGTGCCCCTGTTGCGTGACCCAGGCCTCAACCTGAAGGTGGTGCAGCTTTTCCGCGACCCGAGGGCGGTGCACAACTCGCGCCTCAAGTCTAGGCAGGGACTGCTGCGCGAGAGCATCCAAGTGCTGCGCACCCGCCAGAGGGGCGACCGCTTCCACCGTGTGCTGCTGGCGCACGGCGTGGGTGCTCGCCCCGGGGGCCAGTCTCGCGCGCTGCCCGCCGCACCGCGCGCCGATTTCTTCCTGACCGGTGCGCTCGAGGTGATCTGCGAAGCCTGGCTGCGGGATCTACTTTTCGCGCGCGGTGCGCCCGCCTGGCTGCGGCGCCGCTACCTGAGGCTGCGCTATGAGGACCTGGTGCGGCAGCCACGCGCCCAGCTGCGCCGCCTGCTGCGCTTCTCCGGGCTGCGCGCGCTCGCAGCGCTCGACGCCTTCGCGCTCAACATGACTCGCGGCGCGGCCTATGGCGCCGACCGGCCCTTCCACCTGTCAGCGCGCGACGCCCGCGAGGCGGTGCACGCCTGGCGCGAGCGCCTGAGCCGAGAGCAGGTGCGCCAGGTGGAGGCCGCCTGCGCTCCAGCCATGCGTCTGCTTGCCTACCCTCGCAGCGGAGAGGAGGGCGACGCGGAGCCGCCCAGGGACGGGGAGAAGCCGCTGGAGATGGATGCCGATGGCGCCACGTAGCCTCCCATCCCTGTCTCCGGCACGGATCCGGGTAAGGTGGCCCGGGGCAAGGCAGGGACCGGGACTGGTCTTCCGGGAGCCTGGAATGGCCTGGGGATGGGAAGTGTAGAGGTGAGGGTACCATCCTGGATCCCATCGTATCAGATCAGGTTCAAGAGGATGGGAAAGTCCTGCTCATAGAATTTGGTAGATTCATCGGAATCTCCATCTTAGCCTTGCGCCTCCTTAGAGGGAGATCCCGAGATGAGAGAGGATATTTAAGCGTGACTGAGGTGGAAGCCAGGTCTCCCCACTCCCATTCCCCGGTATGAAGTAGGAGGTTTCAGAGGGCTGAGGAGAGTAGAGAAGGCTTGAAATAGTCATAATGAACCGTGAGACTGGGAGTTGACATGTGGAGTATAGGATTTCGGAAACCATTTGAGGTTGATGATTATGGAGTTATCTTGATGCCAGTTTGTCCTGTAAGGAGACTTTGCAATGGTGTTTACAGGCACAGAGAAAGCCAAAAGCAGAGAGTTTGGTGGAAAGGCGTTGATTCTAACCCTGCCTATCCCTAATCTTTCTGTTTCGTTTTTCTTCTCTGTTTTATGCGCAGGCTCCAGGGCTTTTCTCCTGAGTTTCCAAGCATGCAGGCACAGTCAGGCGGCTCTTGCAACACTTCTTGCATATTGTGTGTCGCAGGCGCTTGTGTAGTGAATAGACTTGCTTTCCCCTGGCTTATATGCGCCTCTCTGTCTCCCCTCCCCCTCCTTCCCTCTCCCATTTCCCCTCTCCCTCTCTTCCTCCACCTCCCCCTTCCCCTCCTTCTCTCCCTTCCCCCCTTCTCCCTGTAGCTGGCGTTTGCAGGATATATGACCATATCTCATTCACATCAGCTTCCTCTAGTGTCGACAAGACCTCAGGGGTGGGTGTCCCCCACTCCACCCCATCCGTTTGACAGATGGAGCCTTCAATTGGCAGTAGCAGTTTGTGACTGCAGGAGGAGCTTTGTGAAAAGACACTGCCCACTCCTTTTTGTTGTTGTTTTTTTCATTTTTGTTTTTTTCTCTGCATATCTGAAGATGCTAAAGTGGTGCTGAAACAGTCTCAAAATGTGTTCTGTGCGGGTCAGTGTATGGCCTGAGGGAAGGGTTTGCTCTGCACAGTGCTGACCATAGGAGTCAGTGACGTGGGAGTGTGTTTCCCGAACTTTGTGTGAGTTGGAAGGGTGCCGCCGCCTGCGCTGTGCAGTCAGTCCAGAGGAGGAGGAAAAGCAGTGCTGGGTGGGCGGAAGTGAGTTAAGTTTCCATTCATTATTTTATAGTGTAATTCAGCATTCCCCTGAGATGAAGCTCTGAGGACAAACGTTGAAGATATTAATGAAGAGGGACTTTGTTGTTGTTACAGAACCAGGGTTTCAGAGTGATTTCAGAAGCTGGCTAACTAAGTTTTCTCCCAGTAATCAAATGGTTTTCTTAGTTTCTGTAAATGCTAGGAAGTCTGTGTTCTTTCCTGATTTCCAGAGTGATGGAAGGTAAGGCACAGGGTGACTTGTCACATCTTAACAAAAACATCCTTTCATCTGCTGATCCTGTATTTACAGATGCAACAGTAATTGTCCCTAACCCTTCTTCACTGGCCTCAGGGAACTCCTCCCCTGGGCGAATGCTGTGCATTTTATGGCTTTAAGACATGACAATCTCCCAGAAACTTGTGCTTTTTTTTTTTTTTTTTTTTTTTTTTTCTTTTTTACTAACATCTATTTGAGTACTGGCTGGGGTGAAGCATTAAAGAGAATAGAGAGGAGGGTAGAGGACAGTCTTTGCCCTCTAGGAAGTTAGAGTCTGTGTGGGTGACAGTGACTCTGAGGGAAGACACTGGTGTTGCTGTTTGGAAGGCCGACGGGGCTTCCTTTGCAGGGCTGCAGGGACAGCTGGGAGCAAGCTTTAGGCTCTTCCAGACTTTAGTGACTGAGTCCTTCCTCCCGCATTGGGCACTTACCACCAATCAGTGGATTGATTACAATGTTTGTATTCTTGGTTCCTAGGAAGATAACGTTGCTGCCAACGCACTGATGGGTTTTCCAAAAGTTTGTCACGCTCTACTCTAGAGAAGGGAAGAGAAGGGAGGAGGATGGATCCTTACCAAAGGGCTATGTGTCATGCACTGAGTTAGGCATTGTACATATATCATAATTTACACCAGTTTTCCAGATGAGGAATCTGAGACTCGGAGAAGTAATTTGCCCAAAGTCATACCTGGGCTGGTGAGGGTGGAACAGTGTTTGGTGTTGGACTCCAGAGCTCATAATCTTCTCTTTTATACCTCACCTGCTCCCCGCCTTGGCATTCCCTGGCAGCACCCCGATACTCCAGCCAGGCTAGTATGAAGTGGAAAACACACTCAGCTTTATTACTAATATGTCCCAACCACTGAACAAATAAAATATCCCTGAGCTGCCAACAGTGCCTACACAAGAAAGCCGATGACTTTACAGCCATCCTCCCCACAGGGCATCTCAGGATGCCCTTGGCTCAACTGAGGAGAGAGACCACATGTGAATTAACCTGAGTAACTTCTGGATGGTCCATACCCAATGGCCAGGATTTGGCAGTGAGGGAGTCAGTGAAGTTTTTTCTGGTCTGGGTGAGGGCCATAGCACCTTGAACCAAGTCACCAAGGACCGAGGCCCTTTCTGTCTTTTACATCTTGGCTTTTATTCACCAGCTTATCTTCCCACTGTCACAAGATGGTAGCCACAGCTCCAAGCATCACATCTTCACACAATGACACGGGGTTATTAAAATACAGAAAGGAAGGAAGCTATCTAGCCGGTTAGGGGTGGAGGGGTTTTTCCTCCTGCCATGTTCTTTTTTTTTTTTTTTTTTTTTTTTTTTTTTTTTGAGAGGACGCTCTCACTCTGTCACCCAGGCTAGAGTTCAGTGTTGTGATCTTGGCTCACTGCAATTTCCTCCTCCCGTGCTCAAGTGATCCTCCCACCTCAGCCTCCCAAGCAGCTGGGCTCACAGGTGCATACCACCACATCCACTCTGTCACCCAGGCTGGAGTGCGGTGTCATGGCTCACTGCAGCCTCAACTTCCCAGGGTTAAGCAATCCTCCCACCTCAGCCTCCCAAGTAGCTGGGACTACAGGTCAGGTGCACACCACCACTCCATCTCATTAAAAAAAATTTGGCCGGGCGCGGTGGCTCAAGCCTGTAATCCCAGCACTTTGGGAGGCCGAGACGGGCGGATCACGAGATCAGGAGATCGAGACCATCCTGGCTAACCCGGTGAAACCCCGTCTCTACTAAAAATACAGAAAACTAGCCGGGCGAGGTGGCGGGCGTCTGTAGTCCCAGCTACTCGGGAGGCTGAGGCAGGAGAATGGCGTGAACCCGGGAGGCGGAGCTTGCAGTGAGCAGTGAGCAGATCCGGTAACTGCACTCCAGCCTGGGCGACAGAGCGAGACTCCGTCTCAAAAAAAAAAAAAATTTTTTTTTTGCAAAGATTGGGGATGGGACGGGGAGTGGGGGCTCTCACTGTGTTGCTCAGGTTAGTCTCGTACTCCTGAGCTCAAGCGATCTGCCCGCCTTGGCCTCTCAAAGTGCTGGGATTATAGATGTGAATCATTGCACCCAGCCTTGATAAATTATAAAACCTTTCCCAGAACCCCCTTTACCAGCTGACTTCCCTTTACATCTCATTAGCTAAAACTGGGTTACACAGCCTGTCCTAGCCCAATCATTGGTGAAAGGGAATGGGAGCATTGTGACTGGCTTAGACCAGCGGTTCTCAGCCATGACTGAACATTACATTCACCTGAGGAGCTTTTTTATTTTATTTTTTGAAATGCCAATGCCTGAGCTCCACCCCGAGATTCTGATTTAAGTAGTCTGGAGTGGAGTTCCCGGACCCAGGCCCTGGGATGTTTGAAAAGCTCCCCAGATGATCCTACTGTATAACCAAAGCTGAGAACCCGTGACTCGGACCAGTCATGGTTCATCCCCTGGGCCAGATGGGACCAGAAGGCTGCCACCGGAACAAGATCAGGATGGGGAATAAAGGGATGTCAATGAGCACTGAACTGCTTGCTACAGTAATTTATGTGAAAGAACTTGGAGCTATGAAGTGCCAAGCAGATGTAGAGTGTTATTATGGAAAGGGGAAAATGTCCTCAATTATACACGGGTCCATTTATAACCCTCTCACATGCCTTCAAATGCTTTGTTGTCTGTAGCTCATTATCTAAGAATCCATCATTGTACACTATCCACCACTGTTCTGAACAGACTGATGTGCTATCCTATCCTTTTCAGCATGTCTCCCTTTAATGTCTGCCCTTGGTAGGTCCCAAGGTTTCATCCCGCTAGGCACTTAAGGCACTTTGATCTTTGCCCTTGACATGACGTATGCATCCTTTGAAAGAAATTAGGAAAGAATGCAAACACCCTGTAATTTGAACCCTAACAATTGGGACGCTTTCTTTCTAAAGAAATGTAAACAGAAAAAGAAATGATCAACCACCACCAAATCATTTTGAAAGTCCTTCTATTTTAATCAGGAAACTGGGCCCTAAACATTTTATATAGGCTTATGTATAAATATCACTGAGGCCAGGTGCAGTAGCTCACACCTATAATCCCAGCACTTTGGGAGGCTGAGGTGGGAAGATCGCTTGAGGCCAGGAGTTCAAGACCAGCTTAGGCAACATAGCGAGACCACCCCCCCGCCACCTTCTCTACAATATTTTTTAAACTAGCTGGGGGTAATGGCGCACATCTGTAGTCCCAGCTACTTGAGAGGGTGAGGTAGGAGGATCGCTTGAGCCCAAGAAGTCGAGGCTGCAATGAGCTATGATCGTGCCACTGCACCTAGCCTGGATGACAGAGCGAGATCCTGTCTCAAAACATAAACAAATATCACTGAAAAGTGAAGCTGTTGCTTACACACAGACTGCTAAAGAATGGGCTTTTTTTTTTTTTTTTTTTTTTTTTTTTCTTTTTGAGACGGAGTCTTGCTCTGTTGCCAAGCTGGAGTGCAGTGGTGCAA